GTAGGCAACCGACAGTGCATCCCCCCCCCCCTGTCAGACGGACCTTAATCCGCCACTGTAAAACAGTAGCTAGTCATTGTCATGTATACAATGAAATAATAGTAAAACTTCGTGAGAATTTGATGACAAAACATCGTTGAAAATGCTTTGTTTACGTTCTGTTAGAGCTAAGGAAACTTCTACACCAGAAGCAACACATACATGTAATTGACCAAAAAAGCAAGTATTTGGGTGCGACATGTCTGGGTACCAATAATCACTGTTTCAAACTTCTTTTTGACAAAATGACAGGGTGCGAGTTGTCGTAGGTACGAAAACGGCCGGGGGGAGTTACCCTGTTACCGTCTGAAAGTATGGACTCCTCCACGACACTAGGTCAGAAACGGGACTATCAGTCCAATCGGAATGCGCAACCCTCGCGCCAAGGAGACAAACGAGTCGCAGTGTAGGCGGTAGGTCCTAAGGCCTAAGGCGCCCCCCGGCTGGGGCTGCGCGGGCGGCTTTAGGAACGGTCGCCTGAAATATTGGCTCATTCCGCGGCGCGCCGTGCGGCGGCGGCGCCTCAAACGTACGGCCTGCCGAGGTGGGGGCCCGCAGCCCCGGCCCGGCCCCGGCCCGGCATGAATATGGAATCAACGCATACTTCAGGGCAGATGGAATGGAACTCGTAATCCGGTACCGCGCCCCGGCAGTGCCACGGCAGCCGGGGCACACCGCGTGCCGGGGCGCGGCGCGGTGGCGGGCCGCGGGGAAATTCCTCTGCCGCAACGGGACGGGGGCAGGGGCGGCAGCGGGACTGCGTGGAGCCGGCGGCAGTGGCGGCGGCGGCGGGAGAGGGCGGCAGGCAGTCCCTCTCCAACCCTTGGCCTTCTGTTTGCCGTCATGAAACTTTCGGTGGGACGGAACGGCGGCGGCGGGGCGATTCTCTGCCGACGCTGCGCTGCAGTGGTGTGGTGGTGGTGGTGGTGGTGGTGGTGGTACCCACCTGCCTGCCTTGCCTTGCCTGGTCACGGCTGGCCTGTCGGTAGTCAAAATACGGAATGAGGGGACGAGTGGGGCGTAAAGTCCGGCGGCGGCGTGTACTGCCCGGCGCTGCGGTACGCAGGAACCTTGACTATGTAAAGCGCAAAGCAAAAATAAGGGTCGTCCAGAAAGTACCGGGTGTAACTGTGGGTGCGCAGCAGTGTTGCGGGTTTGCCTACTCTTTGCACCCGTAAGGGGCCATCGCCCCTGCGGCCATATTGAGAATGTAATCCCGCAACATTGCTACGTATTCACAGTTACACCCGGTACGTCCGTTTTTCCGAGATTCATTTGTTAGATTACAGGAGCTCGACGACCGCGAGACCGCGAGACCCAGTGTAGGCCATACCGCCGTGCAGGCATGCATTGCAGGCAATGCTTTGCCTTCCTACCAGGAGCTGTAAAAGCATTGTCCAGGTACCTCCGTGAAGCTGGCCCTACCCATTGCCGTACTAATTCTGCCGATAGTACGGAGGTTGTATTCCTTGAACTTAGCAGGTTCCTTATACAGGCAAATGACGAATGAACTTTCTGGGCGATCCGCGCGGCGATCCCAAAGCACACTGCTTGTACCTTAGGGAGGCTCAGCCCAGCGTAATGGAGGAGGTGGAGAGAAGATGTCGGAACTCATGTCAGGAGACTCCGTTAGATGCGTTCAGAAGGTGAATTACCCGGACTTGCCGTTACAGCTGGAAGAGCTCCGTTTATTTTCTGTATCCGAGAATCAGTTGCGTTGTGTGGAGCGCATGCCCAGGCTGCGCAGCTTGTGGGTGTCCAGTTACAACTTTCCAAATCTGACTTTCACTCCATCGCAGCATAACAGGCTGCTTTGGCTTGACGTATGCTACAATAATTAGCACAAGTCTTCCATGCTATCCCTGATTCGCGCCCACGCCTCATCTCTGCAGGAGCTACGTTTATGCAAGAGAGACTACTGAGAGGGGACACGAAGCTCTCCGGCCCGCGGATGCCACCTTGACGCACTGGAATCCTAGCGGTCTCAATTGTTCAGTTTGGTCAATTAAACTTACTGTAGAAGTAAATTCAGTACATATTTTGTTTTGTCAGCCGGATTTTTTGGCAGAGCCATTTTAGATCTAGATATTTAATCTTAATCCGAATAGAAATCTAAATTTAAATGAGGCAGGCTCGAGATAACGATGCACCGTCGCCACAACCTTGGTCGTTGGGGGG